GCCCGGTCTAGGTGCTTCAATTCCTCTTCCAAGAAGTGGGGTTCACATTGGCCCCTAATCCAATGAAATTTCCCACCCCTTCTGTAAACAGAGCTTAGATAGATGTTAGACTTGTTGAGTCTATTGTGTTGCTTTACGTGTGTGTTTTGCTAGAATCCAGTAACCTATCAACCCATGCAAAAAGGTTTGTTGTTGTTAATGGCCTTCAAGTTGATCTCGACCCATCCAGTAATGTATGAGAGACCTCCAAGTCCTCCTATCCTCAACCTCCCTGCTCAGCTCTTGCAGATTCATAATCCGTGGCACCTCAGATTGAACCCATCCATTTGGAATGAGGTCTTGCTCTTTTCCTACTGCCTTCCACTTTGCCAGGCATTATAGTCTTCCCTAGTGAGCTCTTTTTTTCTCATGATATGCCCAAAATACGACAACCTCAGTTTAGTCATCTTTGCTTCCAGGGAGAGGTCAGGCCTGATCTGCTCAAGGACCCAATTGTTTGTCTTTTTGGCAGTCCATGGTATCCTTAGCACTCTTCTCCAGCACCACATTCTCTCAAATGAGTTGATCTTCTTCGTATCCGCTTTCTTCATTATCCAGCTCTCACAAATAGATCGAAATGGGAAATACAATGCCATGGAGCATCCTAACATTGGTATTTAATTGTCTACCTTGACCTTTCAGGCTCTTGTCTATTTCCTTCTTCATAGCTGCCCTTCCAGGTCTTAGCCTCCTTCTGATTTCTTGTCTGCAGTCTCTGCTCTGATCAATGATTGATCCATGACACTTAAAGTGGCATCAAACTGCATTACTTCTGCAGTGCAGATTCAGCCAGGGGCAGTTGGAGGGTAGTTTGGAGTCTCAGACCTGGTTTGCAGCTTGAGGCTTAGTACTTTGTAGTGTAAAAACTGACTTGTAGTTTGAGGCTTGGTCATTTGTGGTGTGTAAGGAGCCCGTGCAGTATAGTAGTTTGAGTGTTAGATGAAAACTCTGGGAGATTGAGGTTCAGCCATGGAAACCCACTGGGAGACCTTGAACAAGTCACACACACTCTTATCCTAAAAGGAAGGCAGTGATGAACCTCTTCTGAATAAATCTTCCCAAGAGAACCCTGTGATAGGGTTTCCATAAGTCAGAGTTGGCTCGGAGACACATGACAGCAACAAAAAGTGGTGTACATTTTAAAAAGATCATTTTTTTTTGCTGCTGCCACACTGCAGAATGAATGCACTTTGACACTGCTTTAATTGCCTATGGAACCCTGGGATTTGTAGTTTGTTTTGGCACCAGAATGAGAGCCAGTGTGGTCTGGTGGTTTGAGCGCTGGACTGTGACTCTGGAAGCCAGGTTTCGAATCCTGGCTCAGCTATGTAAACCCACTGGGTGACTTTGGGCACGTCACACTCTCTCAGCCTTAGAGGGTGGCAATGGCAAACCCCCTCTGAAGAAACTTGTCAAGAAAACACCATGATAGGGTCACCTTAAGGTTGCCGTAAGTCAGAAATGACTTGAAGGCTCACAGTAACATCAACAGTTTGGCACTAGAGCTATCTGGTATCACACTGAATTAATTTGCAGTATAAATACAACTCCAGTATTGTTGCATGAGCTGCATCTTGGTGTTGTTCCTGCATGCCTTCAAGTCATTTCTGACTTTTGATGACCCTAAGGCAAACCAAACATGGGGTTTTCTTGGCAAGATTCATTCAGAGGAGGTTTGCCATTGCCTTCACCTGAGGTGCATCTACACTGTAGACATAACACTGTTTTACCCCACTTTAACTGCCATGGCTCCATCCTAGGATTTGTAACTTTATGAGGCACCAGCACTCTTTGGTAGAGAAGGCTAAAGACTTCATAAAATTACAATCCCAGGATCCTCAACTGCATTGAGCCATGGCAGTTAAAGCAATGTTAAACTGCATTAATTCTGCAGTGTAGATGCAGCCCTGAAAATCTGCCACCTGTCCCTTCCTAAATTTGCAGGAGGGGTGCAGCTAGTCTCCTAATTCCAGAATTTGGGAGGCAGAGCATTTAACCACCATTTTCATGCCCTGAACCTTTGGGAGCATTTGCATCCTAACGTGAGATGAATACCTCTGCCTTTTACCTTTTGCTCAACAGCCAAGTGCCTGAGCAGAGGCATTCTTTCTTGCTGTTGGCTAATCTGAATCCTTAGCTGGCTGACTCTGAAATCCTTCCCGTGCCCATAAGCCGCTTTAGAATTAATTGCAGTTCTCTAAATACACTAGACCAGAGAAACCTAACGGAGAGAAACTAAGCACCTGGCACACTTTTGCAGCAATCGTCCTCTGGGGAAGGGAAGCAACTAACCAAAGGGCTTGGTTCTCTTTGGGTTTGCCCCTTATTCCCCAAATATCAGCCGAATGCAACAATTCAACAATATATAGCATTGACTTGAAGGCACACAGCAACAACTTGAAGACACACAGAACAACAACAACAATGATTTTTTTGAGAATGGGAATCTCCAGTGGGAATCTTTTGGAGATTTCCATTCTCCAAAAACCATCATTGTTGTTGCTGTTATATGCCTTCAAGTCATTTCCGACATATGGAGGACCTAAGGCAAATGTATCATGGGGTTTTCTTAGCAAGATTTGTTCAGAAGAGGTCTGCCATTTCCCTCCCCTGAGGCTGAGATTGTGTGACTTGCCCAAGGTCATCCAGTGGTTTTCATGGCTGAGTTGGGAATCGAACCCTGGTCTCCACAGTCATAGTCCAACACTCAAATCACTATGCCATGCCCCACCATTTATATTTTTAACAATGCTAAATAACTGTCCTTTACCCCTACTTTGCCCCTTGATGGATGCCTAACTGCAATATTCTTTGGCCTATTTGCTGTGCCAATGCCTCTCTGCCTTATGGTCCCATTTACAAGGTATGGAGCCTCAAAGTCAGTTCTTGTCCCCCCATTCCACTCCGCTTAAGCTTTATGATACAAAGTCATGCTTGATCCCTTATAATCTCCAAGAGGGATCCATTATAATCCCTTATTATTAAAAGGCTGATAATTTTACATTTAATCCCCATCCTCTCCTTTGAGGATCAGGTCGGATTACAATATTTTAAAAACACATTATATATACTGCATACTCTCTCTCACTCTCACACACACATAGACGCACACGTCTCACTTGCAGAAGTGTGGGACACCCAGAAAACCCCAAACATTTTAAGTGGCGTGGCAACATCCCATGGAAGACTGCGCTTTGCACTTTAGGGAAGGGTACTTAGAATTTTCATCCAGAGATCTCTTGTAACTGTATATCCCAGGTTTCCCAGATTTCCATAGGCCCTGATATCGGGGAAGCCTACCAGCCAGCCACTTCTGTGAAGCCCGGTGGCAATATCTAGAAAAGGGCTGAGAATCGTGTGGTGTTCAGGTGTTCTTGGACTGCAACCCCCAGCATTCCTCAAACTTGACTTGTGGTGGCTACGGCTGCGAGAGCTGCAATGCAACCAACTGTGGAAGGCTGCATGGTTCCCAATCCCTGATCAAGACTTTGGGTCCAAATGTCAAGATCTACATTTCCCAGAGCATGGGCAAAGTAGCATTTTTGGATGACACTTTCCATCATCCCGCCAGCCAGTTGGCTGGCAGGATGATGGAAAGTGTCATCCAAAAATGCTACTTTGCCCATGCTCTGACATTTCCCTAAGATTCCAAACACATGTACTCACATTAATGGGCCAGGCTCTCTTTCCCCCATTGTTTGAAGCTTCCTTGCTCACATGTCCAGCCACGTGCCATTTGCACCCATGGGAGCCTTGTCTTTTCTCTGTGGATGAGATTATCGCTAGGTGAACATCCAGATGGTAGGTCACTTGTTGGGGCTGCCGTTGCGAAGGTCTTGGCATTCTCCCTTCCTGCACATCACCACTTGTTTCCTGACCAACTTTGCAAGATAGAGGCACCGCAGTGGCAAGGACTGATGTTCTGGGGCAGAGACTTGGAAGTCAGGTCCAATGCAGGAGGCATGGGGTCAACTGCTGTAAGTTGCAACTAGGGTGCCATATCCTCCAGCCTTCCTGATTTGGCAGGGACAGTCTCAATTAATCCTCTGTCATCCCACATTTCCATCTGCTTTTTAAAATGCCCTTGTTTATCTCTCCTCCTCCCACTTTTCCCCTTGGTCCCTAACTTTATTCAGATGCTGCAGCTATAATTCAAATTGCAAAAGGGGTTTGTACCCAAATTTGCTCAAAGGGGTTTGTACTCAGTGTACTCAACAGGGAAGGGAAGGGAGTGGAATCTTGCCCTTCCCAGAAGGATAAGGCAAAAACAACTGTTGTACCCTCCTCTACCTTATGTAGTTGTTAACTGCCTTCACATCTGCTTAGACTCATGGCAACCCTGTGGATGAGAGAGACACCTTAAAGACCCCCTGTCCTGAACCGCTCTACACATTTCCTTCAGGCTCATGGCCATAGCCTCCTTGACTGATGCAGTCTACCTGTTTTTCTCCTATCCTCTACCTTTCCTAGCATCATTGTCTTTTCCAGTGCGTTGAGCCGTCTCATGATGTGGCCAAAGTACGACAGCCTCAGTTTTGTCATCTTGGCTTCTAGAGATAGTTCAGGCTTGGTCTGTGCAGGCTTGATCCATTTGTTTGTCTTTTTAGCTGTCCATGGTATCCTTAGTAGCCTTCTCCAACATCACATCCCAAAGGAGTTGATTCTCTTTCTATCAAATTTCTGTGCTGTCCAACTCTCGCATCCGTACACGGTGATGGGAAATATGATGGTCTCTGGACAATCCTTCCTTTAGCATTCAGTATTATAGCGTTGATTTTTATGATCTTGTCTAGTTCTTTCATAGCTGCTCTTCCCATTCCTAATCTTCTTCTGATTTCTTGACTGCTGTCTCTGTTCTGAATGATTGATCTAAGGCAGGGATCCTCAAACTTTTTAAACAGGGGGCCAGTTCACTGTCCCTCAGACCATTGGAGGGCCGGACATGCGCACTGCAGGCCTGGGACAAGTTGGCTGCTTAGCAGGACAGGCAGCAGTGGCAAAAACTCCTGGCGGGCCGAATAAATGTCCTCGGCGGGCCAGATGTGGCCCGAGGGCCGTAGTTTGAGGACCCCTGATCTAAGGTATGGGAAATCTTTTAACTATTTCAATTTCATTATCTTCTAGATTGAATTTATGTAAGTCCTGCATTGTCATTATTTTTGTCTTCTTGATGTTCAACATTAAGCCTGCCTTCATACTTGCTTCTCTGAATTAATTAATTGTTCCACGTCTTTGTTGTTTTCTACTAGCTTATCTCCTCAGTCATAACTTCTGCTGTATTGACAATGTTCTGATGTCGCTTGGCCACACGCATCCCTGTTTTCATCAGTGAAATGTTGGAAGGCATGGGGTTCCCAGATCTCATGAACGCATGGATCTGGCCCCCAGTTCTTAAGATGAGGGAAAGGAATATCAGAGCACTGTCTTGGAAAATGTGAGTGCGATCTCTGTGAATTATTGCTTTGGCCCAATGGGTGGGGAAACTCTAAGGAATGGATTGTGCTCATTAGCTGAGTTCAGAAAAAGAGGGAAAGCTGGAAAAGAGAAAAGCTGCAGTTACCAGGGCAAAGGAAAAGGCCCTTTTCACCTTGAAAAAGGTAGCAAGGTTTTCAGTTGTATATTTTGGAGAAGAACAAAAGGATAAATTCTTTGCAGTGGAACTTCTACATTGCACCTGCATCTGTTTGTATTTATTTATTTTTAATTTAGAGTTTTAAGTCACATCCAAACATTACCCTTCTTCTGAGCAGCACAAGCATAAGAATCCCATTTGGAGAGAAAAGCAGGATATAAATCCAATAAATAAATAAATAAGGAGCTTATCGCACACCCAAATAAGCCAGTTTACTTTTGCCGGCTTCAATCTTCTTCCGGGATACCCCCAGATGTTACCATATGTAAATCGCCGCCGATTTAGCTGTGACGTCGCTGGCTGAGTCAAATTTGGGCCAAAGTCACACTCAGCCAGCACTTTTTCGAAATCAGAAGTTTTTGACTTCTAAAATTTGGCAGCTGAACACAGCTTTGACCCGAGTCTGACCCAGGCTGTATTTGGCTGGAGGCATCGCGGCTAAATCGGCAGCGATTTACGTATGATAACATCCGTGGATATCCCAGAAGAAGATTGAAGCCAGCAAAGGTAAACCAACTTATTTGGGCGTGTGATAAGCTTCTAAGAGTCCTAAATGTAATCCTACTGTGGCACCTCATTCCTTGGATATATGAAACTTTGGGGATGGTGCATGCATCCCAAATTTAATAGACAATTTGTTGCATCATTGCTAAAATATATTGGGGCTTACACTGTGATTACACTTGCAATATTCA